TATCCACCACACACACACGCCACACCTAAGATAAACCAGACACACCTGTACTTCTGGGTCAAGTTCTCATTAGTCATCAGAGGTGGTGGTAGGATGTGCTTGAGCAGCCTGAGATCGTGCTGTATCGGCATACGATACCTTACGAGTTGCACTAACCGCCACACAGGCATGTACGACAAACAGGCAGTCAGCACATAGCACACCACTCCCGGAAGGTACCCTTCATCCACTTCCATGAACCACACACCTGGGTTTATTGGGTGGAATGGTAGGAGGATATGTGCACATGTATGGTAAGAATATAGTAGGTGCATGGGTAGAAGGATATGTGTATATGTATGGAATGTACATCGTAAGTATATACCTCCACTGCACATAAGCGTTTGTAGTATGAATGTATACTAAAGACGGATGATGGTCTACCCTGGAAGGTGCTTAGAAAACAAAGGATGTGGGTCTCATTATATTGACGGATGGCAAAGCTGGTTACGTTAAGTGCACACTATGAATACGTTGAGTGGATACTATCAATACGTTCAATGCATACCAAACACCTTACAACCACTCACTCTTATATCAAACACCATACAAACACTCTCTCATATACTAAACACCATACAACCACTCTCTCTTATTTTAGAAAACACACATACATATATATATATATATATATATACATACATACATACACACATATACAGAGAGATAAACGAGACCATTGTGTGCAGAAGCAGAGCACCTTTTGAACTTGACATACCCATTGAGTAACACATCATCACCAGAATCCACGACTGTGCATAGCGCTTGGTCTCCGGTCGTCTGACCTTAAGATCAGCTGTCCACACAGCCTCTGACCACAGACTCAACAGCACCACCCCACAGCTCACTCCATAGACCACGGCTTGGATGGTCAGGTTATCTCCCATCCACTGTATGACTGTGGAGATGGGTGTTTATGGGTGAGTTGATATATATATATATATATATATGTGTGTGTGTGTGTGGTGGTGTCGTGTGTGT